TGGATTTTTGTAAATTAATACAAATTTAAGGTTATTTTTGTTATACTGTATATACATTTCTACTCTTATTTAAGATATTTTGTATATTGATAGAAACTTAAGGTTATTTTTTATACTGTATGTATGTTTCTACTCTTGTTTAAGGTATTGTATCTTTGCAGCTCATTTAAAAATGTAATATAAGTTTTAGTACTCAAAAGCTTTTTAGGGTAATAAAGACAGGTTAATAGTTAAGTATCTATAATAATCAAATTTATAGTCATGTTAGGTATGTTTTCAAGGTCAAATAAATATATTTTAAATAGATGGTCTTCAAATACTTCAGAAACCTACAAAATATGGCATTTAAAATGTTTTAATAACATAAGTCTTTCATGACAAAGAGACTTGTCTGCTCCTGAGAGCACCAATTTACTTTAAAAAAAAAAAAAGGATGATGGGCATTGAAGAACCTTCAAACAGAGTTTGCTTTTAATGTGTCAAATCTAGCCATTGGGCAAGAAACTACCTTTGCCTTGACTGGTGACAGTATGCTGTCCAAACTGGACGAACAGGACATCAAAGGTGACTGCCAAACTTTGCCAAGCCAAGGTTGGATGGTCCTTCAAAAGTTTCTGCTTCACAAAAAACTCTTTCTGATATTCTAGGCCTGTAGACCAATGATGGATGCCCCAATGTTACAAAGGAACCTTGAAGGGACTGTCCAGACAGCCAGATGTCTGACATCCCTATAGTTTTAGAAGTTCTTTTCTCTTCACTTCCTGTTTACTCAGGTTTCTGATGGGTTGAAGACTAGATAGTTATAGTTTTCCTTAGTTATGACAGAAAGTAAATTAGGTATGAAACTTTGGACTCTCCAAGACAGGATAATGGTATATTTTCTTGGAATTTGCCAAATACAAATGGACTGAGCATTATAAATGCAATTCTTACTTGATAATTGTTTTTATTTTATATAGTTTCATTTTATTGTAATGTCAATACCTTTCATTTTTAGCTAAACAATAACTGATCATTGTTCTTATTGTATATAATTTTACTATGTTAAAGTTAAAACCTTCCCTTTTTATTTAGACAAAAAGTGGCTATAATAGAGAAACACTGACTCAAAAAAACCAAAATAAATAAATAAAAGGAAAAAGGGAAAGAAAAAAAAAGAATGCTCAAGAGAAGCATTCAAGGTATCTGCTGGTCCCTTGTCTATAAATGTCTAGGGTTGCTTGAATAGAATAGGTGCCAGGGGCTTCATTTGCATAGGAATTCTAGGACTGAGACTATGTCAGGAAAGAAGAGGAGGGCGGTTGTATCACTACAACTCCTTCCCTCTCTTGCCTGGCACCCAGCCTTGGTCCTGCAGGACACACAGCAATAACAAAGAGAAACCCACTTCACAACGGCCTCCTGCCCGCACACGTGGCATTGCTTTCCTTATGCAACGTGGAGAATTTATCTATTTTCTCTAAAAGTACTTCTAGATGATTCAGTAACATATACATGATTACCTCGAATAGCTGGTGGGGGACACATCACATTCTGCCCTCAGGCTTGTTAAAAGAGTACCCCAGAGACCACCTGCCCAAACATATAATTGTTCAATGTGGAACAAGGGGTCCAGTCAGCACTGAGACTGGTCTCTGCAGTGCACAAAGGGTATGTTTATGCACAGTCCTGGCTCATGGAAAGAAATGCTCATTTGGCTTAAAACGCATAAATAAATAAAGCATTTCTTCATCCTAAAACTGGGCAAATTAAAGGATAGGATTGGAAATGTTCTTCTCAAGCCACAGAGTAAAAGGTTAAGAAATTATCCTGAAATCAAATCAGAAGGCTAAGTTTCCAGGGGGAAATGCAGAGGGCAAAACTAAGAAGCAGGGTCAGGAAAAGAGAATGAAAGCGGCTACATCTAAACAAGCCCCAGGAAGCTGTGGGGGGTCCTTAGCCACCAGTTCCCCCCAGTGGACCAGGGAACCAACCTTGTTCGTACTGTATCAGGTCCAGTTAGCTTGACAATGTGTCCGTATGTGACAAATGCTCCCATAAACCTTGTCCTAGTTCTCTTTCTATCCCTGTGATAAGCATCAGGACCAAAAGCAACTTGGGTTGGAAAGGGTGTTATTTCAGCACACAGCTGTAGTCCATCATGAGGGGAAGTCAGGGAAGGAACTCGGAGGCAAGGATCTGGAGGCAGGAATTGAAGCAGGGGTCACGGAGAAATGCTGCCTACTGGTTTGCTCAGTCTGCTTCTTTAGAGCACCCAGGACCACCAGCCCACGGGTAGCAACCTCCCACCATGAGATGGGCCGTCCCACAGCAACCACTAATCAAGAAAACGTCCCCACAGACTTGTCGACAGATAATCTGAGGTGGCATTTTCTCAACAGAGATGCCTCTTCCTAGGCAACTCCAGCGTGAGTCTAGTTAATGAAAAACCAAATAGGACAAATACCTTTGCCCCTGTGGTGGTCTGAATGAGAAATGTCCCCCACTGGCTTAAGTATTTGAACACCTGGTTCCTGGTTGGTGGCGCTGTTGGGGAGGTTTAGGTGATGCAGCTTTGCTGGAGGAAGTACAGGGGCTCAGAGATTGTAAAGCCTCCCCCATTCCCAGTCCACTCTCTCCACTCCGTTCATCTTCCTGCCCTAGACACCAGGCCTGCTTGCTTGCTTGCTGCCACACTTCCCCACCACGAGGGACTCTAATCTCCCTGGGACTATGAACCCAAATACACTCTTCTTCTTGTAAGTTGCCTTGGTTGTGAGGTTTCTATAAGAGCAACAGAAACATTACTAATACAAGCCCTTTTTACAGTCTAGGTTTGAAAAAAATAGCTTCATTGTGGGTGATCCTAGAAAAATATGTAAATCTCTAAACTGCAGCCTTCAGAGGTTTACTCACAACCCAGGCTGGCCTCAAACTCAGAGATCCACCTGCCTCTGCCTCCTGAGTGCTAGGATTAACGGTGTGCACCACTAATGCCCAGCTCTTAAGTTATCTCTATACCTGCACATAAGTGCGTTTTTAAAAAATATTTATTTGTTATGTATACAATATTCTGTCTGTGTGTATGCCTGCAGGCCAGAAGAGGGCACCAGATCTCATTACAGATGGTTGTGAGCCACCATGTGGTTGCTGGGAATTGAACTCAGGGCCTTNTTTTTTTTAAAACATTTTCTTTTCTTTTTTAATTATTTATTTATTATGTATACAATATTCTGTCTGTGTGTATGCCTGCAGGCCAGAAGAGGGCACCAGATCTCATTACAGATGGTTGTGAGCCACCATGTGGTTGCTGGGAATTGAACTCAGGGCCTTTGGAAGAGCAGACAATGCTCTTAACCACTGAACCATCTCTCCAGCCCCATTAGTGCATTTCTTAACCTTCGTGGGAGAAGTTTCCTTTTGCAGTAGTAGGAGATTAATATAAAGACTTATAACTAGTCAACATGCAAGACTGTGCTCACCCCTAAACGGGGCATATATATTAGATTCTCTTACTCCAAGGCTCAGGGAATCGTTTCATAAGAAGGGAGTTATGGAAAGATTCTGAGAGCCAGAGGTAGTAGGTTAACTGCTATGAAACAGGGGTTTCTTGACTCAACAGGGCCAATGCACACATGAATTCATAGTGGCTATGACTACTTGCGCAAGACGTAGCTAGCAAAGACCTCAACAGGGACCAGGAGGAGGTCATGAAGCCCCACCCTTAGCTGAGGGTTGGCAATTGATGGCTACTGGGGAAGGGAGGGTCAGTTTTCTTCAGGATTTCTGGCCCTGATCAGATATCTGTGCTCCAGTTGATGGCCCTACATACAGGTGCACGGTAGCAGGATTAAGTAGGCTCAGGGGGTTAAAAAAAAGTATATGAACTTGGGAGGGGAAAGTGGTGGGAGAAATGGGTTGGAGTAGGAGGATAGGGATGGTCTCGTGGGAGGACACGGGAGTGGTTTTGTTCAAAACATATTATGTGCATTCTCAAAAAGAACGAGCTTGGATTAAGTGTTCTTGGATTTGAGCTTCAGGAGGAGTAGAAAGGGTAAAATTTATGAGCATGTGACTTCACTTAAAGGTAAGGCTGAGGTCTGGACTGAGGGACTGTGGCGTGCTGAGGTGAGGAAGGCCTTGTGCTTTCCCTTTAACTCATCTCTGAATGGTCTAACTTGTCACTGAGTCTGTGAATCCTTTTCTGTTTTTGCTTGTTTGTTGTTTTGTCTTGGGGCAGGGTCAAGACAGGCTGCCTTTGAACTCTCAGAGATCCTCTGGACTCTGCCTCTAGAGTTCTGGGATTAAAGGTATGCTCCACCATGCTCCCCTCAGCATGGCGTCTTTAAAATCAATTAGAAGATGCCCACACCTTCACAGAGAATCCTTACTGATCTTGACTGCATTCAAAGTCCAGCAACTGCTACACCCACAGTTTGGGCTGCTTCACTATACACACCTGGGGATATCATGTTCTCTGCTGCGCACCGGAGGCTAACAAGATGGGTACCACATGGTCCATGACCGGTTGATCCACACCAGAACAAGGGCAGATAGTTTAAAAAAAAAAAAAAAAAAGGGCAACAGTACCATCGAGGATACACCAGCTGCCTCGCTTCACTCATACTTGGCTTTCCATGGGGTTCATCTGTGGGCTATGCATACTGACAGGGTCATCTTTTAAATGTCTAAAGGAACAACACCAGTTAATACTGCCAAGCAGGAAGTGTAACTGGGGAAAGTGAAAACCCCTGAAGAGACCCACTGGGGCACACAGGTGTCCTAGCTATTCTATCCTGGAGTCTCTGCTGAGTAATTTGGGTTCTAACACAGCAAAGGGCAGCTGAGCAGTTTGAACCACATTCTGCCTTTCAACTAACTGCCGGGAAATAAGTTGTAACAGAGTGGAAGACGATGCAAAGTGCTATGTTGCACACTAAATTGTGTTCTATTTCCCGACCAACTTCATTGTTTCCATGCACCGAAACGTTGATGCTGTAAAGACTGGAAGCCACACTTACCTGACAGTTTTCTTCCATCCCAGAAGGGCGCCATGGCACCCAGCAAAAGCTGCGGCCGGAGCCAGCCTCTCGTGCCTGGAGCGTGCTGGCCTCAGGCGGAGCTGCTGGCGGGGCTACCAGAGCCACTAGCGAGCCCGGGTTCCCGCAGTCCACCTCACGCGCACGCGCACTCCCCTTCGGCTGCGTCGGCGCCTGTGGGCTTTGGCAGCGCGGCAACTCCAGTGGGCGGAGCTGCGAGGGGCTCTCCTGGCCACGTGACCGGAGCCAACATGGCGGCGCCCATCGGCGTCCACCTGTTCGTCCGTGGAGGTAAGCGATCGGCGTACGACCGCTCCAGGGCTCCGCGCTCAGTGATAAAACCGCGTGTGGACGCGGCACGCACGTGCGTGCTTTCAGTCAGACCCACACACACGATACACACTGGCACGCTACAGAAACACAGACACACGTTTGTCCACTCCTTTCCTGGACCATGTCGCTGAGTGGTTAGTCCTTGAGATTTGCGGGTCGTTGCCTAAAGTTTTCTTACACCATTTTACTTGTGTGATTAGTGTTACAGACATATATAATGGCGACGCCTGTGAAATGCGCTTTTGTATTGGCATGTCTTCTCTTTGAGGAACTTGTAAAATGTGATTACTCTTATGATGACTTAAGAGAACTTATGATGCCCAAGTCATTCCAAGCAGGTACGATTGAGGTGAATCATTGTTGAGTTAGTATAGGCTCTGATTTTTTTTCTGGAAAGAACTCAGAAACTGGTTCAAGGATGGAGAAAACGTAGCACCAACGACTTAAGGGACTACTTAAGTGCCAGGCAGATAGGAACGGTTTTAGGAGGTAAGTATTTTCATAGTGATATCCAGCACTTATTATATGCCTTCCGAGCCACCTCACCAGCTCAGGTTAACTTAATACAGTCTTGTGTGAAATCAGATATGCCGACATCTTTGTGTGTCTATGTTTATCTAAGGATGCATAAAAAAGTTGACTTTGACATGGAACGGTACCCTCAAAATATAATTGTTTGGAAAAATCAAATTGTAGGACTATTAGTTTATGTTTAAAATTACATGTATTCGTCTGTTTATTGTGTAAGTGTGTGCGCAAGCAGGTGCCAAGATGTGCATACAAAGGTCATAGGAGAACTTCAGGGAGTTCCATCGTCTGGGTTTCAGAGGTTGAACTCAGGTCATCAGGTTTGGTGATAAGTGCCTTTACCATCGAGCCACCTCACCTGTCCAGTTTAGCTTAAAACAACCCCTGCTTGTGAAGTCAGATACCTGGATTTGTGTGTATATGTCTATCTAAGTTTATAATACATACAGGGAATGGCATACCTTCAGTTTCGTGAAATAAAACACTCAGCTTTTATGAAATGCCTATGTTCTCCAAAGCATTCAAAAATTGTGAAAATGTACGGCGTCTAACAAATTTTAGAGATTTGGGCAGGGGTGAGCCCATCACTATATGAACACAGAGCATCACTTAAATAGTCTTTTACACTTAAAACAACTTGTTATTGTGAAAAATAGATTTTTTCTTTTTTCTTTTTTTTGCCTTTGAAATGTTCTTAATATGAGAAGTTTCAAATACACGGAAGACAGAGAACAAAGCAGCAAACTCGGCGTTTGCGTCTGCAGGCCACACGTTTAGAGACACCTGTTCCTCCTCCTCCCCAGCCACATTGCTTCCCCAACTGTATTATCTTAAAATATGTCCTAGGTATATATCACTTCATTTATAGATTCTTTTCATTGTGTATCTCTCAAGAATAAGCCTAGGGGCTGGGAGTGTAGCTCAGTGGCTAAACTCTTGGTTAACACCCATGAGGCCCAGGTTTGGGGTTCCAACTCCAGCCCCACAAGCGGAAATAAAAGGCAAAAAAGACAGAAAATCCCACTCCGCCTCATATATATTGTACTTATTTCTAGACTTGCCATTTAGCTGTTTGTTTAAGACATAGTCTCTTATAGTCCAAGGTGTCCTTGAACTCCTGATCCTCCTGCCTCTACCTCCTGTGTGCTGAGATTAGAGGTGTGAACCACAGTACTGGGCATCCCCCCTCCCCCCATTTCTCTGTTCAAATTTCCCAGCCATTCACTCATTAGTAGACATTTCTAACAACTGTCCTAACAAGTGTCTTCTGTAGAATGGCCTTGAATTTTTGGTCCTCCTGCCTTCTCAAAAAAAAAAAAAAAAAANCTAAAAAAAAAAAAAAAAAAAAAATTGAGATTACAAGCATGTGCCACCCCACCCAGTAAGCATAACAACTTTAAAAAAAGATTTAGTTTTTATTTATGTGTATGTGTGTGTTCCTGCATGAATTTACATGCACTACATATATGCAGGTACCTGATGAGGCCAGTGGGAGTCAGATCTTCTGGAACTGGAGTTAGAGGCAATTGTGAGTCCCAAGATAGGCATTATGGCAATCCAACTGGCAAGAGCAATAAGTTTTCTTAACTATTGAGCCATCTCTCCAGCTTATAACAGCTATTTTAAACATTTGAAATCTGGGTTATTCATAGTCTGTTTTATTAACTTCTTCTTATTTATATTTTCCTGCTTCATATCTCATGTAATATTTTTAAATTTTATTTATTTTTATTTTATATGCGTTGGTTTTTTTTTTTTTTTTTTTTGGCCATGGGTGTTGGTCCCCTGGAACTGGAGTTACAGACAGTTGTGAGCTGCCATGTGGGTTCTGGGAACTGAACTTAGATGAGCAGTCAGTGCTCTTAACCACTGAGCTATCTCTCCATCTCCCTCATGTAATATTTAATTGTATATGTCTCACAATAGATATCTTTTTTCTTCTTGGTTTTTTGAGGCAGGATTTCTCTGTATAACAGCCCTAGCTATCCTGGAACTCACTATGTAGACCAGGCTGGCCTCGAACTCACAGCGATCTGACTGCCTCCGTTTCCTGAGTGCTAGAATTAAAGGCATGCGCCACCATGCCCAGACACAATGGATATCTTTTAGAGATGATAATGATTTTCTTTACAATATGTTGAGTGTTAGGCAGTAGTTTGATTCTGCCAGGTGTTATTCTTTGTTAGAACAAATCTTTTTGGGTTTTGCCCTTATTCTTCAGGAAAATACAAGGAGTCTTACTCCAAAGTAGAGTTCAGTAAAGGCCAGGTAGTATCTTAGGCATTTATGAGCATTTACTATTACAACTTCTCAACTCTTCCAGGTGCAAGTGAGCATAGCTATGTTCCAATAAAACTTTATTTACAAAGACAGGCAACCAGTTAGATGGAATTGGTCCACTCTAACTCTGTTAGCAGGAGTGATTCTTAACTCCTAAGCTGTAGACTTTCTGGGGTCTCAGCTGAATACTGTTGGGGTTGGGAGGCTTTGTGAGGTTTTCTCAGGGAAGTGTGTTGGCTCTGGGACTTAAGCTGGGGCTTCTACATCTACCAGCACTGCAAACTCTGGAATCGGTTCAGCTCTCAGTCAGCAGCAGCTTAGTCTTAATAACCTTGTGGCATGCCATGCCTCTTTTCCAGCTGCTTTTGAACCAAAACCTCTGTTCTCTGACTTAGCCAAGCCTCAGATGGTTCATGGCTTCACTTTCCAGTGCCACATTTGGGAAGGTTTTGCAGAGCAGAAATCTGGGGGGTGGGGGAGTGATTAATTTGTTTTCTTTTAAGGCTCACTGTCCTCTGCATTACTTCACTATGTAGTGCCAACAACTGGTTGGTCCACATGTTTGCCTAGTTGCTTAATACAGAGGAATTCTTAAAGTGGTGATGCTGCCATAAATAGAAGAAGGTTTGTTTTGATTTTAGACAGGATCTCTTGTATTCTAGAGTAATGGAGAACTCACTATAGTTTATTTGGCTTACACTTCCCTAGCTCTGTTCATCATTAAAGGAAGTCAGGATAGGAATTCAAACAGGGCAGAAACCTGGAGGCAGGAGCTGAATGAGAGGCCATAGAGGGGTGTTGCTTACTTGCTTGCTCCTCATGGCTTGCTCAGCCTGCTTTCTTATAGAACCCAGGACCGCCAGCCCCAGGGTGTCCCCATCCTCAATGGCCCAGGCTCCAAACAATCACTAATTAAGAAGATGCCCTGCAGTTTTGCTTGTAGCTTGATCTTATGGTGACATTTTTTTTCAGCTGAGGCCCCGCCTCTCAGATGAGGTAGCATGTGTCAAGTTGACATAAAACTAGCTACCATGGTCGCTTCCTTCACAAATCGTGTTGCTCCGTGTCACAGCTGACATTCTACCTTTACCAGGTTTCCAGAACTGAGCTAGAAGGCAAAGCTTGTTCACAGAGAAGAATCCATTGTGAAAAGCAAGGCAGCAGTTTTAACACTGAGCAGGTTATAAGTAGTTTGCAGTCCGTGTCTAGACTCACCAGCCCCTTAATAATGTCATTAAGATCGTGACTCTAAACAACATCCATCAAGCTGTAGGATTCCAGGGGTTACTGATACCAGTAAGGGGTGGTATCTACTGACCACTGAGCATTTTCACTTAATATACACCTCAAAATCAACATGTCAATATGTTTACATCCCCGAGACTGGATTTGTAGTAAGTACTCTTCCCCCCCATTCTCACCTTAGTTGTTAATAAGTTTTGTTTGTATTAGTTTGTTTCTCAAGCGGGTCTTGCTTTGTAGCCCATACAGGCCTCCTGAGTGCTGAGATTATATCTTTGTGCTGCCGTGCTCAGGCTAACTGATGTCAATAAAAAAAAAAAAAAAAGAAAAACCAGCGTATTTGGCATACAGTTCACCTATATAAATTATACAGTGTAGCTTTTTACAAATTTTGTGTTTACGTGTGATTTGCATGTACATGGATATGTGTGGGGTGTGCTTACCTGTTTGTGAGCCTGTGGAGGCCATGGGTTCACAATGGGAGTCCTTCCTTTATTACTTTCCACCTTTTTCATTAAGACCGGGTCTCTTGCCGGGCGGTGGTAGCGCACACCTTCAATCCCAGCACTTGGGAGGTAGAGGCAGGTGGATCTCTGTGAGTCTGAGGTCAGCCTGGTCTACGAGAGCTAGTTCCAGGACAGCTAGGATAGGTTACACAGAGAAACCCTGTTGTAAAACAAACAAACAAGATAGGGTCTCACTATGTGTAGACCTGGCTGGCCTGGACTTCTCTATATAGACCAG